GATGATCATAATGCACTTAGAGAGTTTTATGACCAAAAATGAGCAAAGAAGAAATACAAGATAAAAAGGTTATTCCTCGTTCCATTTTCCTGAGGATACGGGCATAAAATTTTTAAAGAGCTATTACAAGCTGTAACTCACCTATCGTGACTATTGACGTTAACGTCATCGTCATCATCACCATTAACGTTATCATTAACGTCAACGTTAACGTCATTGTCATCGGCATGGTCAACGTCATGGTCTACGTCATTGTCATCGTTATCATTATCGTTATCTTTATCATTATCGGGGGCAACTTGGATTGGCGCAGTCCTAAGAGCATTCCCTTCCATTTGTGCGTTGAGTTTGCTGTTGGTTCGCTCGTTTGCTCCAGGTACTACGGTGTTCCCCTCTCCTCTAAAACTAACACTTCCAAATTCCCATTCCTTATGGAAAGCATCGCACGGACTCGTTTGAACAAGTTCTTAATTAAGGACCCCTACGCTCTCCGTGGGCAAACAAGCTACACTTTCGATTATTAACATTAGTATCATTCCCATTATCATTATCGTCATAATTATCATCATCACATCATCATCATCATCATTACAATAAATAACATGGTTAAATTCCGAGCTAAGCCCACCCGACAAAACACAATGCAATAATACAATACGGCAGTAGAAACGAGAGCGCAGCTATTTCTCCAAATAGATCAACAAATTACAGTATTATTATTATTATTATTATTATTATTATTATTATCATTATTATTATTATTATCTAGAACATGACGTGTGTTTTTTATTTACTTTTTAGGGGGGGATTAAGTCCTTTGCAACACGGGTACACAGGTATGATTACATGAAATAATGCAAAACGCTCTCAGTGACTTCGTACGATACATTTAAGGTGTTTCGATATAGTTTTTCAGGCCATACCGATATTTTTCAGTCGCTTAAAAGGTGATTTATCCTTGTCGGATCGCCATAAAATTTTCACCAATGATTGACTATAGATTGAAATTTGTCAAAATGTAGGTTCTAGTGAAATCGATATTACTATGATAACAATGAACAAAAAAATTTGAAATCGATAAACCCCTAATTTTGCGCGATCTAGACCAACTACTGAAAATCCAACACTAGGAACTTAAAGTTTGGTGTTTAACATATAACCTCCGTAAGAAGTAAACAATTCTGTATGTTTGAATTCGACTAAAACGAAAATATATTTCAAACCGTAAATTTTCAATAGCCGTGATAGATTTTTTAATAAAAACGTTATAAATGACTCAAATTATTCTTTTGTAGCGACAGAATTCTGCTTAATATCATATTTGGATGCTAAGAAATTTTGGTGTATTTTCGTTCTTGCGATGTTAAAAACTAACCCGTTTTCTCACCACCTGTGTAATAGGGTCTGGATAGGATAGGGGGGGGTTACAAAAAGGTCAGTTGTCAGTTACAAGTTTGCCCATTTGTCAGTCGTCAGTTAAATTTTACGCTTTTCGGCAGTTGTCAGTTAAATGATTATTAATGATTAACTATGAAACTTATGTGTATATCTTTGGTGCGAAATTCAGCTTAAAAGGTACATATAATGTAAATTAAACACTGAATTCAAAAACTGATGCAATAGTACCTTAATTTTTATCAGTTTTGCTTTCAATAAGCATTTAAAGTGGCCCTTTATTTCTCAAGTTTTGTGTCACTCTGCCTCACTCGAACGTTTTTGCTGGCCAGAGTCCGGCAATTCCAACCATTAAGCCAATCAAAATTTATACCTTCAAAATATTGTATATCTGCCAACTCTCACGCATTAAGCGTAAGTCTCACGCCTGTGAAGTAAAGAGTCTAAAGACATCGATCTCACGCATGAAGGACAATTTCTCACACCTGACTCACAAATCCGGACAAAGTGCTTTCTTAACACATGATAAATAATGAAAATCCAGTCCAAAAAGGCGTTAAAGGATGACTTTGATGGTGTACTTTTTTGTGTTCTAACGAAATTAAAGCATGTTAAAATCGTCGTCTTTAAAATAACTTTGGTAGTGCGCAAACCTCTTCGAAACTTTTTTTGCGGACATTGTCGGCAACGTTCAGAAGTCTTCGCAAAGTCGACGGAAATCTGCGGAAGTAGCCTGAACGTTTCTGGAAACCCTGGTCATGACAAGGTGAAAACCCAGAAAAAGTTGGCAGGTACAATATTGGGACGTAAATAGTAAGAAAGACCAAGAAAGACCACATCTAAATCAACTCGGTAAAAACTAGCAATTACTTTTGTAACGCCCTCATTAGCAGCCATCGTATGCTGGCGGGTACTTAGGGACGGACCATTAAAAAACTTATAGGTGGGGGGGGGGGGGCGGGTGGGCGAAGTAAAAAAAATATATATTCGCGCAAGGGAAATTCTAAAAAAAAATTCATGCGCGCCAATTAACCCTAAAAAATATTCATGCTATGGCCTAAAAAAAAATCCATACAAGGAATTTGATAACGAAAACAGATTCCTGTAGCGGGAAAATTGCCCACCCCCCATAACTTTTCTAATGGTCCATCCCTACGAGAAGTGTAAATTTGAGAACATAGGTAATATACAACAAATGGTATATGACATACATAGGTTTTACGTAAATCATTAACGAAATATGACACTTAAGCGTCTTGCTGCTAAGATTACCCATAAAAACGCACATTTGAGTCACATTGTCTGATGAAAAGAGTAGAACAATGCTACTTAAGGCCTTAAAAATAGGTTTTGTTGAAAATAAGGGACAATCAGGTTCTTTATCAGTTGTCAGTAAAACCCAAGACAAATGTCAGTTGTCAGTTAAATTTTCGACTATTTGCCATTTGTCAGTTGGCAGTTAACCCCATCTAGACCAACTTGAAATTTCAAGACAAACCTATTCTACGAACCCATCAAGAATCCGCACTACAACCTTCACTGTTTTGACGCTATGCTAATTTTCCCAAATTAATGCAGACAGTACTTATATCCATGACTAGTACATTTCAGTGTGAGTATTATCAATGTTTTACATTCAAACGATGCGATAAATTCAAACTACAATGTACTAGTCATGGAGGTATGTATAGCGCGCATTATTTCGGAACAATTAGCTTAACGTCAAAACAGTAAATGTTGTAACGCAGACTTTTGACAGGTTCGTAGGATAGGTTTGTCATGAAATTTTAAGATGTTGCAGTGAATCAATCTCAATGAAAGTTTCAGACCTTATTATATACATTATGAAGATTATGTGAAGAGATTTTAAAAAAATTCGTTTGGTCGTTTCAGAGATATACAAAAAAGCGCTAAAAGTCCAAATTTTGAATGAAGTTGCACTTATACAGGTGGTGAGAAAACGGGTTAGTTTTCAAGATCGCAAGAACGAAAATACACCAAAATTTCCTAGCATCGAAATATGATATTAAGCAGCATTCTGATGCTACTTAAGAATAATTTGAGTCATTTATAACGTTTTTATTAAGTAATCTATCACGGCTATTGAAAATTTAAGGTCTGAAATATATTTTCGTTTTAGCCGAATTCAAACATACAGAATTTTTTGCTTCTTGCGGAGATTGTTTGCTAAACACCAAACTTTAAGTTCCTATAGTGTTGGATTTTCAGTAGCTGGTCTAGATCACACAAAATTGGGTGTTTATCAATTTCAAAGTTTTTTGTTTATTGTTGCCATAGTAATATCGATTTTACTAAAAACTTCATTTTCACAAATTTCAATCCATAGCCAGTTACTGATGGAAATTTTATAGCGACCGCACAAGGAAAACACCACTTTTCAGGCGATTGAAAAATATCGGTATGGCCTCTGAAAAACTCCATTGAAACACCTTAAAGGCCGAGTAAGGTAGTGAATTTTATCAGTGAAGTCATAAGTGCGACCTTCTCTTACCATCATTAGACAATGCTTTTTATTACCTGCAATAGCGGAAGTAAATCATTTCTAATGTAAAAATTGCTACTGCGTGATTCACTCCAGCCTTGCCGATTTTCCAGATGCATTGCTCTTCGGCTTCGTCTCCGCCATTTGCTTTCAACAACACCCCAGACGTTTCATTCAAAAAACCACCACAGCCTAAGGAAAAAAACAAGAAAGCGACGGGTGATATATCTGATTTAAAAATGCATTACGTCCTAGTGATGTTTATGTCAGAGAATTTTTAAGACAAGTTAAGAAAACAATCATTTGTGGTTCGGTACAAGACAAGTTCATGTAACTTCGGGCAAGGAGACGACAACCAATAAAAACGCTCAACACAACAATTACCTTATGTGAAGTAAGATTAGAAGAGAAAAAAATGTTTAATTTAAGCTGTCAAGCAAGACATTGATGCAAAGGAAGAAAATGGCAAATATATGATCATTTATCCATGTTTACTCCGGCAAAAATCACTCAGGCATAAAACTGAAAACCTTCTCACTATAATCTAACCTGGACACATTCCGTCCACAACTGACACATCATCGATTGCAATTTCAATTTGAGACGGTGTTCCTATTATTCCTTCAAACGTCACCTATAAGGAGCCAGTCACAATAAACTATGTTGATAATAGCAAAGAAACCACAGATTAACTACAATCGGTTTTGTGTTATACCATTAAAGTGGTGAGTGACAGGGTAGTGGGGACAGGAGGAATAGGAGGCGGAAGAGGCACGTGAAGCGGGAGAAGAAGGGGCGAGAAAAGGGAGGTCTGAATGAATGGGAATCGGAATAAGCGGTATGGACCTCCCCGTCCATCTTGCCCTCTTCCAGTGAAAAGGAGTTGAGGAAAAGAAGCTGGAGCCGGGGATGCAAAGTACGGGAGGTAACTCCTACCCAAAGGGAAAAAAGGCCACGAAAAAAAATCAGGAGACGGGGATTACAAGATGTTGGAGGCGGGAGTTTTGGAACCTCGTTACACCCCCTCCCCCCTCCCTCCTCCTTTCCTGTAAAATGTCAGTGGCTGTTACGTATCATAACACTAGTTCTCAACATGATCCGTTTACACATTTACCATATCACTGAGGTATACTGTCCGGATGGCCCTTTTCCAGTAGCTACCCTGATTTCCTGACTTGGTGAATATTTTATTATTTCCACTGAAAACATTTAGAGTTTCCATTCCTGATCCGTACATGTAATAGTAGAATGTTAAGCAGTACGACGATTTATTTCTAGGTAACGCAAATGTCAGCTTTGCATTATCACCAGAAAAATGACGTCGAAGGTCAACATAGAAATATAATCCTGTAAATGAAAAATGAATAAATAAATAAATCATTATAACGGCAAAAACCCCGACAGCAACAACTAGGAGACCCTAATAAAGAAGAGATCTGGTTTGCATCCGGAAACGATAATAGGGAGCTTAAACAAAGATGACGGCAACGTCAACGAGAACGGTAAAACAGCAATAGGTTTAGATTGGCAAAAAAAAAGTCTGCTCGTACATCACGCTTTTTTGTACGTTTCTTTGCCGTCACTGCACGACGATACGTCGTGAAAATGCCAAATTTCACGGTTTTTTTTGTTTTTGTTTTTTGAGGATGTGAACACAAGACAACGACCTTCCTTTTCTTTTCCGGAACTATGATACAGTCTTTTAGAATTCAACTGCAGAAAGAAAAGGCAACGTTCGACGAATTAAACGAGAGAGAGATAGCGAGATAAAGTTTGAAGTAGCGCGACTTCACATTTTTAGTGAAGTTTTTGTAGCCGTCACCGCCGTTGTTCCTTGAGCTCCCTAATAGACTAATTTAGCAACAGAACGGGAACGTCATTTGACAACGGAAAAGCCCACGAAAAGGACTAAACTCTACTTCCGGTGTCAAGTTTGTCGCTCTGCCATTGGTCAAGCCAGTTGTTTGATTTGTGGCGCCGTCGTCAACTGACGTTTCCGTTCTCTTACTAAATCAGCCTAATATCAATAACGATACCCTTCATTAAATCATAACTGGGGTCTTAAGGGACTGTACTAAGACAGAATTATTCAAAGCTCAGCTGGCTATTGAAACGTTTACCACTTCTCTTTCTTCTACGTTTCTGCTAGGTAAAAATTTAGGTCAGTACTACCAGTACCAAAAAAGTATGTCCGTGAAGAGCGTACGGGAAAGCCAAACGTTCCTTAATAGGGGTGACGAATGGTCTTTTCGAGCATTCGTGAGCGTGCGAGCAGAGATAACCATTGACCTTGCGAGCAACAAGTATTTTAGAAAGTACAACTCGCAAAGAGCGAGCACTTCTTATATTTTCACTTGAAGCAATCTATATGAAAATCCGTCCCTTCAAAATATTTAAACAGAAAATAGTGAATGGCGTTTGAACTTATAATTCATCTCGTTCATTTCCACTGACCTTGATAACCACATTAATTGTTTATAGAACTTAACATGAGTTAAGTGCCATGCAGAATCACATTTATTTTGAAACAAAGAAGCCACCATTTACAAAATTTCGAGCAATACTGACAAGAACGCGAGCATGCGAGCAATTGCGAAAATTTTGTGAGCATGAGCAAGCAAACAATTGTTAAATTTTTGCGATAAAATCGAACAAAATCGGAATTCCTATCTTAAGTGGAATTCCAGATTCTTTTGACCGGTATTCCAGATTCCAAAGTCCAGTATTCCAGTATTCCTTTTCGAACAAAAGTTTCCCGGATTCCATACAGAATCCGGATTGTCTTACATGGAGCGAATCGGCTTCCCAGCCTTCTCGGCAATATTCTCATGGTAAATAGAACGATTGCTTTTTATACTTATAAATAACATAGCTAGAATATTCGCCCAATCAAATTCAATAGTGAGCTTAACAATCCTCCCAAGACGTCTGCTAAGTGCATACATAACTCAGCAGCAATTAACATGTGTATTAGAACGTAAATTCAAGAGCAAACTTTTGAATTTGTTGACCAATAGTAGGAAACTGCCGTGAGTGTTGCTGTTAAGTGTTATTGAGCGAGCTGTGCGGACTACGATGTGTGCAAATCATTCTTTGCAAAGTTGTTTCTCTCGAAAGGAATTTTTCGGAGAATTTATAGTTTTCCGGTACCTTAATATGCATTTTACAATCTTTTTCAACGTTATCTTAGGCGACTTTAATAAACTTTCTCTCAGTATCAAGACAAAAATCATAACTGTGAGGTAAAAAAAAATTTAGTCAAGAGCAGATTCTCGCGTACTGCTTTGAGCGCGCGCTGCAATAATAAAATTTTGAATGAACTGCTGCATTGATCGCTTTGATAATGTTATAAAACAATATTTATTAGTTCATGCTTCGGCTGTGCGTATATCGAGATATTGAGCACTTGGGAAGTTTGGAGAGCACTCAAGAGGCTAGAGTTCCTCTCTGCTGCACCTCGAGCAACTCTTACGCTTCTTTCGTGCTCTCCAAACTTCCCAAGTGCTCAGTATCTTGACATACGCACGCTGACGAATGAACCAATTGTAAAATGTTTTCGTTAAATGAATGCAAGAAAATGCCAAAGAATAAATTTCAAAAGCCAGCAAACCTCTTCCCCTTGTATGATCCGAGGATGGTCCAGTACCCGACGAATACCATGTGGAGCTGATTTGAGGCTTCCAATCAAATACATCTTCCCTCGACTGGCTCCACCCAAAGCACAATCCATAATCAAAGTTACAGGACACTATAAGAGAAGCAGGTGAAAAAAGTATGTGTCGTTTTACTTGAAGAATCGTTCCATTGTATACAGATGAATGGCGTCACTGGCAAGACGAGTTACGCTAGGAGAAGTCATATTCCAAGCACAAAAGAGACAGCTCGCAGGCTAAAACTGTACATTTTTTTTTACCTAGACAGCTTCCACTGTTTATTTCTACACTATCGATAGCGAAATCGCCAGTAAATGAAGTCCCTGCTATCCCCTCGAATGTTACCTGCAAAGAAGGTTGAGTAGTAGTTAGCAGTAGTAACACTTTCTATACGTTAATTGGCGTAACTAACCACCCCTACACTTCTCTTTACCTCACACCATCTCACGTGGGGTACTACGCCGTTTAACAATTAAGTGTCAAGCCTTGGCAAAAATTCGATATAGTCGAATGGTAAACCGTCAAGAAGAGTTTTTCTAGCTACTAATTATTCATGGCGATGATAATGATGATGATGATGTTGATAATGGTGACGGTTTTTATGATAAGGATGATGCTGATGATAATGATGATGATGATGATGATGATGATGATGATAATGATGGTGATGATGATGATGACGGTGATGATGATGTGCGCGTTAGCACAATTTTATTTCTCACCAATCCATTCAGAATTATGTTTCTCTTCACCATAATCCATTTAGAACTTTGATATCCGGAAATGTTAAATACTTTGCTGTTTCCACTGTAAACGTTAAGAGTCCCAACTGTAGCTCCATACATGTGATAATGAAATGAGAGACATGACGTTTCTCCGTTGTCTGGAACAGTAAGAACAAGCTTGGCTTTGTCGCCTGGTCTTCTTGGGGAGGATGTTTCAATGTACATATATTTTCCTTTGAGAAAAGAGGAAGAGGGAAATAACACTTAAAAGAACAATACAGGGCGATAATACGATAAGTGGCTTACTTTGTGATGTATTTTGATGTTGATTTTTTGTTTGTCTGTTATTGTACGTTTTAACAGAAATGTCAACAAAAAATGTCTTACTTTGACTGAAAAACACATAGCAAACATCTATATATGATGTAAACCTCTTCATGCCATTTAATACTTAAAGCTATATTTCGTCTACATTGAAAATGGAATGCACCAGAAAAACTGGACCTTTTACAGAGAGACTGAAATGTCTATACAATGTAAATTTATAGAATTTTCATAAAAGTGCAAATCTTCCCCTATTTTGGGGACTAAAAGAAAACAATTTTACTGAATCAAACCTGCTCCCCCTTGATCAGAAGACGGGCCAGTATATGACGATGGTGTTGAACCAGACCAAAAAGCCCAATCAAAGTCATCCGAAGAAGATTGGTTCCATCCAGAGCATAATCCACTGTCAAATGAGCACCATACTAAATTCGTAAAAATAAATAAACAAAGAAACATTTTTATTTTTCCTCCCAACACCAACTTTCTGGTAAAGACTATTTAACAATTTTATATTTCATTTATTTAAATAAAAGTTTATCCAGGAGCACTAATTTAACAGAGCTAGTTTAAATGGAGCCCTGGTGGTTTTGAACCAGACGGAAGTGTCCAATGAAAATCATCTGAAGAATATTGGCTCCACCCGGAGCATAATCCAGTGTCAAATGAGCATCATACTACACACATAAAACAAATAAACAAACAAATGAAAAAAATGCATTTTATTTGAGAGTTAATGTCTTTAGTACGAAGTTACTAATTGGGGACAATTTTTTTTTACTTGTCTTACGGAAAGACAGGACAGGCATTTTTTTTGTGGCGAAAGGGCTAGCCGTTTGCACAGCAAAGGCAGTACATCGATTTCTCAGTTATTTTAAGAGACTGAGTATTGGTCCGTCCCCGGGAATCGAGCCCGCTAACCACCGCTCTGCAGTCAAGCGCCCCGATGAATGAGCTAGTCCTGCCCGGCCGGTTACAAAAAAATAAGAATAACACGTAAATCAACATTTTCTTCCAAACATCACGTTTCTGGTAAAGGCTACATGTGTTTAAAAATCGCAAGAGTTTATTAAAGCAATAGCACTAACAATGAGCGCTTACCATTTGTATGGAAAACAAGGAAATTCCGGTGAGAATTTAAATGGAACGGTTCATCCCGGTGGAAATTTTCCGGAAAAAAGGTAATGCCTTTCAAGGTATTACTTTTTTACCGTTTTTACCGAAATTTTCTGTACCATTTGTTTGGATCACTAGTGCCAGGCTTCATGTCCAGAGAAAGCGAAAAATTTACCGGTATTTTGTAAATGGTACAACTCGATCCCTTTCCTGTTTTCGGTACCAGTACAATTTCACGGGAATTTTCCATCGAAATTCCCCTGCAAATGGTAAGCGCTCAATGTGTCGATTGCATTTTTTTTAAATAATGAACGCTTTTACTTCAAGCACCTTTAATTCGACTCAGTGAATTAAGATCAGTAAATAAAAGATGGCTAGCTGATAAAAGTAAGGGAACTTTGTCTCTTCTGAGACAGGCCCGGGTGCCTGGAAGCCTGATTAGCGCTAATAGAGGAGTACATTTCGCTAATCGCAGAATACTTTTGGTCCCACGATTAGATTCTGTTCCTGAAAGCATGATTAACCTTAAACTAGGAATAGACTAAGTGCTAATTTTAACCCACCTGGCGAGGTCGATTAAGTCACTAATCGGGATAAACGTTAGTAAAAACAAAATGGCGGACTTACCTTTGCCACAAATACGTGAAAAAAAGTTTCGACAGCAAGAAATTGATCTCGACCAATACACTGACAAAGAGCTTTGCAGTAGATACAAGTTTGGCCGAGAGTCAATTCAATATTTGGTATAAATCCTCAAGAACGACCTCGAGAAACAGACGAGGAGAAACCATAAGCTGTTGCTGCCAACGTGGTTACTTCTTCATGTAATAAATTCGGTCAGTATAAAACATGGACTGCCGAATAATTATCAGGTAGATGAAGAATTTCGGTTTCCTCTTCTTCTCCTTTAGTTCAACCTAGACCACTTCATTTTCCGCCATTTTCCTTTACTTCACCCACGCCTAAACATTTTTCGCGCCATATTTTTTTAAAAGCAATCCTCCGAAAAACTAGTTAAACCGGTTTATTTTAACACTAATCTCGGATTAGTTAATCGTCGGTTTATTTCGTTTTCATGAACTCCTTGTTAACCCACGATTAGTTATCCGAGGAATAAGAAATTTAATCGTGGATTTGGCGCTAATGGGAGGATAGTTTAATCGGCTTTCCAGGAACCGGGGCCAGGATTATATTAAGCAATAAAAAAAGCAATTTTCGTATACTTGCCTAACGCGGATACCGATTGATTTTGTGGCGAGACACTAGGCGGTACTGCTTGATAAATATGGTTTGTTATCCATGCTTTCAGATCTCGAACGTTAGCATAAACCCCATACTTTGAAGCATACGCACAACTGTAGCCCCAACTTGTTACACCTTCAAGAAACCATGTACCGTTAAACTCACACACCAATGGACCACCACTGTCTCCTACACAAGGGTCAAATCCTCTTGCATCCAGGCCAGCACAGAACATGGAATCATCAATTTTTCCAGTGTAGGAATACAGACAACGTCGCCTGGAGACCAATGGAATCTGAGCTTCCATGAGTGTATTTTTCTGGGACCCACCTGAAGACAGTGTACCCCAGCCTGTTATCCAGCACTTTCTGTTCAAATTGTCAAAAGGAAGAGGGTGGCGCATATCAGGAAGGCAGACAAGCCCGATGCCTACTCCAAGATTTGCAGGTTTTAACAGCTTAATCAGGGCGATGTCATTGCTATGGCTCAGCGGGTTATTATAGTTTTCATGCCTAATGATCTGTGCGACCCCGATTTCCAGTTCTGCTCCAACAAAACCGTATGTTCTGTAGAGGGCTCCCAACCTACAAATAAAATAAATGAATGAATAATAAATAAATGCCAAATTAATCAATTAATTAATTTAACTAGTCCGACAGAAGACAGAGGAGCAAACAATACAACCTCATTCCTAGCCTCCCCTCCTATCCGCCCCCCGGTCCTCACTTTGGTAACCTATTGATGCCAGAAATTTTGGTTATGACGTCACCGTACGCTTGTACGCCCGTACGTTAGTATGGACCTTGAAGGCGGTAGTGGGGAGACAATTCTTGGGCGGGAAATGAAATTGGGCAACCCTCGCTTTTCTTGGCGCGAAATCTGACAATAAATTGAGCGTGATTGCGAAACGATATTTCTGTAACGATTAATCGCTAGACGATTTCTCAACAACGCCTAAGTTTCCATCTTGAGAAAACTTAGTAGGGTAGGGAAGTGAGTCCCAGACATTGACGTTGCGTTTCGTTTGGCGCAAAATTAACCATTTTTGGGCAGCCGACGGAGTTGGTCAAGTAGATATCTAAATTGAAGTTTCCTGTGTTCGACCTACGCCAAAATGTTTCGGAAATAAATTTCTAAGACTTTATGTTTTGCTTGATCACGCTTTTGGTCACACTCCAGTGACAACCTAGTCTTGCTTCCTTCCTGCTTGGTCACAATTTTGACAGGTTAATTCGTGAATGAAAACATATGCAACATCTAGAAATTTGTTTGCCGTCAGACTTGCCGACAACTGAGGCCTATTTTTCTTTTCAGTTAACTTTTAAATTCCGTGTTCTCCTCCTACCAACACAAAATGGACCACAACTGCTGTCGAATTTCTTTTTCAGTTTTTCAAAACTAAATTTGAGTTTGGGTTTTCGAGGAAGAAAGTGTGGAAAAAGGATTCATTGATGACTGAGTTTGTGACAGACAAATGACACAATGAAAAACCAAGTGCGATCGGTTTGTTCACCAAAGGACAAAATTTGGTCGCGGACGGACAAACTTCAAAGATGCCGTCGACTACCTCTGGAGCAGGCCAAATTGAGACAAATTTTGGAAAACAATAGCGAGGGTGTTTTAATTCGGAAATGATTTGACAGGTGATATTTAGCAGAGTCTCTTTGTTATAAACTTCGTTGTAAAATTAATCACGTTCTCATTTCGCAACAACATGAATCCCGGCGCGGGCGACCAATTATTTCCGTACGAATTTCCATAATAACCACCAGGATGGATCTATCCTTTGCCAGACCCTTACATGATTAACGATCGAGGAAATCCCAGCCCATCTCCTTCGACCACGAGTACTGACTCGTTGCCAGAATCCCTCCAGTTCAGGGAAGATAGCTCGATGCCGGCATCAACCCCATCTTCTTCGCGCCGTGCATCTTCGTCAGCCGAGAACAAGAAGGCTGAGGACAGATGGAGTGAAGAAGAGGGGAAGCTTTTACTTTAACTGTGGGCTGAAATCAGAAGGCGATCACAGCATGGTGTTGTCTTTTGTTCACAGATTTTGTTTTTAAGTGCGACTCTAGCTTTCCGGACAAATTTTTTGTCACTGGCCGATTTTAAGTCGGATTTGTCCAGAACAAATCTGAAATTGCCCTCTAGTGTCAATGTATTATTGACATTAACCGTGTCAAATAATTGTGCATGTAACGCTACACGACTCGAAGCGATCGACAAAAACTGAACTTTGAACCAAAAAAAGTGTATATCAAGCTACATTATATAAAAGTCCATGACAATAAATCAGCATATTATTTGTCTGAAACCTGTGCACGATTAAGTTGAGAGCACGTGAGCGTTGGAGTGAGTGAAAGAGTGAATTTCCAATGGAGTTCAATATCAAATCATCTTCAATTTTTGCTTCCGTCGTGTATAAAACGTTTTACTGCCAAGGGAAAACAAATCTTGTCACACTTTCTAGAAAAACTCTTAATAACTAAAGCAATTTATCAGTTACATAAATATAACAAAGCCTGGCTGAATACAAATTTAGCCAAAACACCGACTTTATTTACCGTGGAGTTCCAGGAATTGCTTGAAATATTCTGAGAAACGTATCGCTTCAATTTACGGGAATTTTGTACCTTCACTTGCACTTATTTATACTCTTCGCTTGCAAAAACGTGGCTTTCTATACAAAACGGCATTTCTCCCGGGCTTAAAGTTTTCTAACCTGCGTACAGACGTCTCCCTCCCTCATGAAAAGTCGGGATCGCCGACGATAATCGTGTTCGGTTCCCCGGAATGTTGGGACAGCCTCTGATTGGTTGTAATGTAAATGCCATGACGCAAATAAATTTTTTGTTGTTGTTGGTGAATGAATCTCAGAATAGATTTCCCAGGGAAAAGCTCAGCCTTTGTGGACATTCATATTTGTTTACTGGCATTTGTATTTCGGCTCTCTGGAATAGGCATGAGAAGTTAAGACTACCGATGTTTGCTGCACTGGTTGCGAGTGCGTTTGTCTGTACTGGTCGGTATTGTAAATAAAAGAGAAGAACGTACAAAATCCAACGTTTACAGCCAAGCCAGGTCAATTTTACCCCAAAACATTCCATTAATGAATTGATTATTTGAAAAAAAATGAATCCGTTAGTCGTTCCCGTAACTGGTGTCAAATTTGAATCGGAATTCCTGCATGCGTAATGAGCAGTCAATATTTTACGAGAACTTCTCTGCATTTGGTCAGATTAAAAATATTTGAACGGATTAAATGTCTTAGAAGACATTTACATCGAATTCAGGGAAACTGAGCTGGGAGAAATTTCGTAAGTGAATCGCGTGTGAATTCACGGCTCATTACGCATGCAAGAATGCACACAGAGATGAAGATGTTCGGCTAGCCTGTGTACAGACGCCATCGCTATTTTTCGACCTACATGTGCTAGTCATTATTCATAGAATTAGCCAAAAGTAAGGCTATTGTAATTTCTTGCTGAAGCGAAGTGAACGATTCTTTACGTGAAACCTACTCGAAATCATCGAATGGATCACTGTCATCACTGCATAAAACGTTTGACTTCAAATGTAAACAATGCTTCCAAGATCAAAATTTGTCAAACCAAAAACTACAGGAAATCGATGCACAGTAACAGACCGACTTTATGAGCTAAAAAAGACCGAATAATGTGTCAGAATCTTCCAAAGCATAAACTGCATAACTTTCTGGGATCTGCTCTGCCCTTTTACAAGTGCTCTGATGAGGAGATGTTGATGATACGCTCGATTTGTCCGCATCTCTTGATTCTGCCCTTGATATTCATCCGCTCTGCTCAACTTTCAGGCCAGCGCAATGCATCTTAATACTCTCAGTCCATGGTTTCGACTCATTTTAGTGAGCTTTACTCACATGTTCCTCCTCCATTGGACATTTGTGGCATTCGAGCACAACGTGACAAGCTTTGTACGGTTATTGGTTTATCGTTTCATCCTGGCTTTGCGGAATTCTGATCGGAAGGTATAAGGGGAGGTGGCGTCGGTATCTATATTAGGAAATAATCAATTATAAGCGCAAATGTTGACATTAAATGCCCACCAGAACTTGAATCCCCTTTGGATAGAGGTGCCTGGCCACAATAACTATAATGGGCTCTTAGCAAGGTGTGATCTATAATTCGAGCGCATGCTCAGTCTACCTTCAAATTGGCTGAATAGTTTAGGAGAACACTTGGATACCCGACTGTGTACTGGGATGGCATGTTAATGCTTACAGGAGACATCAATATCGATGCTTCGTCCTTCTGACCATCTAACAGGTATCAAGGTATACTGGATATGTCTGAACACATAGATTTGTGAAAACTCCCCACGTGTTACAAGGAGGACCTCCAAAACCTAATTGATCTTTATCACCAACCATCCGCAAAGGTGACCAACACTGGTATAATTCCAGGCTCTATTGTAAGTGACCACGATGTCATCTACGCATGCGCCAATGTACGGCTCCCTCGGTTCCAGCCTCCTTATAAATTTATCCGGAATATTAGAAACTTTAAAGAGGACGTGTTTAAAGAGGACTTTTCTACTCTTCCTCTGTCTGTTATATCCTACTCGGATGATCCAGACGAACAACTGGAGACACTTAACACTAATTTCCGAGTGTCTCGAGAGACATGCCCCCTTGCGGAAGGTTCGAATCACGCGACCACCCGCTCCATGGATGAAGGACCCATTGATAGAGGAACTTCAGAAGAAACGAGATGCTGCTAGATTTACCGCTCACCGGACCAGCACTGATGCTGCTTGGCATGAGTT